CTATATTATATAATGTTATATGTTGTAATATTTTCTCGTTAATAAAAATCCGACATCCACTATATAAGCTAAAACATATATTAATGGAGACAAATATAGGCTAAAGCTATTACAAAATCTACAACAATATACAAGTTTAAAGTACCTGTGTTTAGAGGTTTTTTTTAAATTATTAAATAATTATAACAATAAAATATAATTTCGAAGTGTCGGGCCAATAAACTTTCTTTAACATTTGAATATATAGTTTAATACATATAAATAACATAGTGATGTAAATAGAACAGACTATAAAGTATTTGTCTCCATGTTGAATTACAAAGAATTAACAATTTTGCGCAATATTCTCACTTCTCAGCAAGCATTTATACGCACATACTATTTTCATTAGTATTTGCGTTTGCATTATATTCGAATTTGGTTTAAGGTACATTTGGATTTTCGACGCTGAACATTGTTGCATTGCGTTTCAGGTAACCGCAATCTCTTGTCTTTTGCTTATTCTTTGGCATCTACAACACGTATTGGACGTTAACTTCCAGCAGTTCAAATGGAAGCAAGAACCGCAACGATCACAGCGAAATACATTTTTTAGCCATGGATATATCACTTGATCTTTTTGGCAATACTCACAGTGGAATCCACGGGCTGTACAGAGCTATTGTAAACAAAAATAGAAAATGTACATACAATTGTCTAACTGTAAAAAAGTGTTATATATAATATATATCGATATTTTTATTGCAACGCACCACACAATTGAAAATATGATGTTCGCATTTTTCAATGAGTTGATCGATTGAGTGTTGCATACTTTTGTTTCGCACATCAATGAAATCGGACAATGACCAAATATCCGCATCGTTTGCAATATGCTCTGGTATGCTTTCAAAGTAAACTTGCTCTCTATAAATAAAGATATCAATACTTGGCTGCAATTTTAAAACTCACGAAAATGATTCCACGTACCTCAATGCAAAGCGGCAAGTCTTCACGAAATCTTTAACGAATTTCAAGTGAACACGCTTCTTTCTCGCATTTAGAAGCGCCTTATTATTTATATATAGCGCTGGATTTAAGTCTGGCACGTAAAACAGCGGATACGTATACATCTGATCCAATAAGCGATAGGCGAAAACGCTAACTGGATAACACTTGAAATCCCAACTATGTATATGTATTGACACAAATATATTGAAATGTCAAATATGCAATATTGATCAACTTTATAGATTATAAAGGAACTTACGAATGTAAAATTTTTGCGGGAATAGGTGATATTTGATTGCGATGACATCCGGTGCAATGATATTTGCCAAGATACGTACAATAGCGAAAACTACTGATATATTGCCGAGAAACTCGCATTCCGCAGCCCGCGCAACGATTGTTCTGCTTTTGTATCAACTCCTTGCGACTGTACAAGATAAAAATTATCAATTAAGAAGTCGGTTTCTATTTATACCATAAGCAAGAGTACCTTATCGAGGGGTGATCCGTAAAGATAATTTGTTGACGAGGTGGCGCCCAATATCGTGTGCCGCGTGTAAGCGGTTGTATCACATTTTCATCGGGATTCGAGGTAGGACTATTATCCGGCATTGGTAAAAGTTGCTGCGGGGTATCTTCCTCGGAAACCAGCCATTTCAACTCTGACACTTTTGGCAGATGTTTGTCATTAAATTTGGAAATAAGTGAGAGTCCAACAACTTCAGCAGAAAGTGAATCTAAACAATTCTCATCTAACTCTGCGTAAGGAATATGTTCGCTAGCTTCATCGGGAGAAGTCTAAATTTTGTTTTGCGTATAATAATGTTAGTTAATTCTAGAGGTAAGTTTCTAAATACATACATCATTTTTATGAATACGACTCTTTGTATTTTCAGTGCTCAAGCAATCTGTGGCAGTTAGGGCAATTGTAGATTGGATTGCTTCTAAAAAGTGTATAACAGTTATATAAGTAAATAATCTATAAAAAAAATTTAATATTATTTACCTTTTCTACGTCGCCATTTTTTCTCTGGTTCGGTGCTGTTGTCCCATTTTATATGTTCGATTGCTGAGATTATCGCTTCCGATACACGAAAATGTGCATTCTCTTTTTCCAACTCAGTGTTATTTCGAGACATTTGCGAAGTTTCTAAAAAGTCTGTTAACGATTGTTCACATTTTGGCAATGATTTCTGGGTTTCATTTAATGCTTTTACTGATCTAACTATCTCCGATTCATTTGCTGACGTTTTATAATCGAGCGTACTTACACCATCCTCAAACAGGCTTTGGGAGTGCCGTGAACGCAACTTTTGTCCATAAACAGGCATGAATGCATCGAAGACGCCAGATGAGATTTTCGAATTATCCACAGGTTGCTTCAAATTACAAGGAAAAGCTAATGTCGCAGTAAAACCATTAGTTTCGGTATCATCTAAACTGCTAACAAAACTGTTATCATTTTGATTAGATATGGACCAATGGGTATACGTGGGAGGTGTGCTAAACAGATTACATAGAAAACTGCCCAAAGGACTTGCGCTTTTCGCTTTCTGTAAGAGATAATTTACATTTTTCGCACATGAAGAATTTACAACGATATTGGGTATCACCTGTGGTTCAAAACCTTGCGGTATGATACATGGATCGGTTGTTGGGATTCCCTGATTAAAATCACTTTGTTGGATTTGAGTTTGTTCATAAGCTTGATCGGTCCAGATTTTGATATCATCACAATTAATGAATTCTATGAGTCGGGCAGGCGCAGTATTACATGAAGAAATGGAAGCCGTAGGTGTTGAGGAAGACGATCGCTGGTTTAATTTCGTCGAAGCAAATACTTGCTGTTGGCTTTGCTGATTTTTCGAAGGTAGGACGATGTCGGGGAAATCGCTGCCAGAATATAATGAACTTGATGTGGTTGTTGTGTTAGTAGTAGAATTAGAATAACAGGAACCGCTGTTATTACTCATTTTTGGCGTATTGACAAGAGTTGACTCCGCATTAAAATCATCTGATTTGACAAATAGCTGCCTATTATCTTTCCGTAAACAATTTTTCGAATTAATAGCCATTGTTTTAGAACGTGGTCTAGGCATTTCGTAGAAAAATAATCCAAACGATTCATGGGGTTTGTATTGCAATGTTGGAAGGCTTTTGGTTTTACGAAATGTTAGGAAAGCAGGGACGTTCGATGCAGCATTTGAAAAATCAGTCTAAAAAAGAAAACATATATTAATATACTTTTTATAAGTGCTATTATATTATATATTATATTACCATTTTACGTAAATCGCTGTTTGCAATATTTTTCTCCACATTGTTTTCCTTGTATATGTCAGTAGGCTTTGTAATATTTGTATTTTTAGGCGGAGAAATTGAGAATGTGGGATGTGAATTGGTTCGCCTGTGCTTAACTTTCGTTGTAGTACTCAAGGGTCCCATACCGGATTTTGGACTGTAGAGCTTTGTATCTATTTGACTTATCAGACTATATTGATTCAATTCCACAGCAGATAAACAAATAAAAAGCGCTGTTGAATACGCCTCATTTCGTAGAAATGCGTCTTCTGCATAGTATGTATTGATCAATTCTTTTTCTGCAACCAAAACTTGCAAGCAGACACTTAAGCAATTTGACTGTAAATTACGTAGCACCCAGGAATGAAAAAATCTTTCAATGCGATACTGTCCTCGGTCATTAATTACAGATGATGTCCCCACGGTTTGTTTTATGCTACTCCCATATGACACCGGTTCAATAGAGAAATCCGCCGCAAATGAATCACGGATCTGCGCCGACCTACAAACCCACTCAAAATCTTCCACAAGCTTTTTAAAATTGTCGGGACTATCAAGGTAAATATTTTCACCAGATGAACCTATTGTAGAGTTACAGATCGCCTTAAAAACAAAAATATATAATTTAAAATTGTAATGCTAAGCTTAAGAACTGATATATAGTCATAGAATATTAAATACCAATAAGTTAAATAAAATCTTCTACTTATAATTAGAAAAGGTCAAAAACATTGGAAAAACTATATGTTTAGCATTCAAATATTTTACATTTAGCTTTTTTTCTATCAATACGCATATAATTCAAGGTTTATCTTGTTTGAACATCTATAATTACATACGCACATACAAAAATTATGCCAACTAACACTTATCTGCATATTTGTATCAAACAATAAATCAATGAAAAAATATGCTAATACTAATTCCAAAGTAAGTAGGCGCACACACTTTTCACAATATAAAAGGTCGTTAATGCTGAGATCTCACCGTTATGGTAGTCCCTGATTTTATACGCAACCCATGACGCAATATATCCACAGTGGCTGTTGTTATGCTTTCATATGAGGATAAGTTGTTTTCATTATTTAGTGCGACGGTTGTATGTCGCTCATTTAGGAACCATAATCCACAAGATTGTTTCAAATTGGCCAACAGAACTGGAAGATCCATCTTGACATTGTTAATGCTCACACAATATGCTGTCATTTTGCTAATTTATTCATTTTAAATAAAAATATTTAATATCGAAGACATTTTATCTCTCAATGTATACAATTAACTTTACTATTTCGTGGTATTTTTACGCTAAGCATAGCGATTTGTTAATAATATCGATAACAGTCGAAAACATGAAATCGATGAAATATCAATCAAATTATTTTAAATAAGTTTATATTATAAACTATAGTTTACAATAACCTTTTTTATGCGTCTTATTATTATTAACTGGATTATATTCGTGATAAAGAATTAGCTGGCAATAAAAAACAATAATAAATTTAATATAAATTCTTCAAGGTTATGTTTCTAATAATGGTAAATATTCAGCATAGTGGCTTTTCTGAAAAAATGGACCGAATTTTTTTTTTAATTGTTGATATTATTTTTATTATTATTATATCCAAATTTTTAATAAATTACATTTATGGAAAACTACCATAAATTACTTCATTAAAAAACAGTTTCAATACAACCCGTCATTCTTCTTGAACTGTCATTTTTATTGTTAAACATTTGCGAACTCTCCTCCCAACGGGTTTAGCAGGAAAATGCATCATCCAAAAGCAAAAATGGATGAATTTAAAACAAAGTTTATGGACTTGCTGCACAAACAGGTATTTAAATATATTTTATATAGTTTGAAGAGTTATTACACAATTAAACAATCTGCAGACCAATAGGCAGTTGAAAATACCAGCTATGGGTTTCTCCGATTACTTCATACAGAGTGTCACAACTGAGCCTACGGAAGCTTCTGCAAACAAACTGAAAGCTGGAAGCAATGCACCAACGTTATCACCAAGTGGTGAAAGTGATGCATCTAATTCTGATACTGTTGATACTACTGCCAACGCACAAAAATCTGACCAGGAAATACTGGAGAGTATAGAGGAAATATATTTTCAACCAGAAGGGGAGGAGGGGCGCAATGTGCATGGTCAATATGAACTTCAGGTGAGGTAAAATAGTTATATATTTGCTGTTTCAATATGCATGGAAAGTGCATTACACATTGATGACAATGTATGACGTAGTCACTTAAGAATGGAGACGTGCATATGCCTCAGAAATGCTGCAAAACCAGTTTTATATCTTCACACCATACGCAATATGTACATATAGATAAATATTTCTTTTTATTTTCTGCTGCAGAAAGTTTTTTCTGACGGTGTAAATTTTCAACTAATTGATGGGACGATTGCACAATTGCGCACACAGCATAAAGTCCTATCAAAGCAAGTGCTACAAAACATATTAGAGCAACGTAGCGCTTGCAACGAGGAGTTTGCATCCATTAATGATATACAAAAAGATCTGGAAGAATCCCTATGGACTTGTCGAAAAGCACGTTCTTATTTAAATTATGCAAAAGTCAATTTAACCACAACCAGCCTAGAAATATTAGCCTCTTATCGAAAGCGTGAAATTCTTAAAGAGCTTTTAAATACTTTGCTCGCGATTAAAAAGCTGGTAAGATAGTTTTAACTACGGTGTATATAAGTATGTAGTTGTAGGCAATTAATTATCATTTATTAACATATCTCTTAGAAATCTACTGACGTCGAAGTGCAAAAATTTCTTTCCGACCATAATTACTCTGGTGCAATTGGTTTACTGCTTAAGTGTAAAGATTCTGCTGAAGAATATATGCAATACAACTGCGTGCAGTCATTGAATAAGAAGCTACAAGAAACCCTTTTGCTAACGGAGTTTCAGCTAGACACAGTTCTCAATGAGGTGGGTAATGATTACATAGACTTGTGCAATTTTTTTACGAATGTTTAAATAACTGATTTATTTATAGATGATTTTGAATTTTGATATGCGGAAGTATGCGAAGCTGCAAGAAGCTTACAAACTGCTAAACAAATCTCTAATTGCTATGGACCAGGTTAGCTGATGTATTAATATTGTTTGTTTTCCTCTATCTAACTTTTCGTTTTATTCAGCTGCACATAAATTTCATCTCCGCTATACATTCCTCTGTAAACTCAGTTTTACGCGCCTTCAACGACCCAAATATTGATGAAAACATGAAATTCCTTTTCGAACAACTTTGTGAACAAGTGACTGTGGACAAATACATTTCCTGCTTGATCAGCTTGTGCAAAACATTCTGGACCATACTGGCGTCCTATTATCAAATTGTTGTTTGGCATCAAAATTATAAGCTGTACCCCTTGGACATGGAAGACTCGCCCGATATTTATATACAAGAAAAGCTGAAGAAGGGTCAATCACGAATTTGGAATGACATTCTAACAAAGATTTGCACATTTCTGCAAAGCACTAAACTCAAAACGTTGAAGTATGATCAATTCATACAAGTATTATCCATAGTACAGCGTTTAAAAAAGGTTGGTCTGGAATTTTGTGGTGAACAGTCCGACAAATTGATTGAAACAATGCAAGTACAAAGTCAGGAATTTTTCCAACGTTATCACATAACATGCCTAGAGGAGATATGTCTCTTTTTGGATAATGAATCGTGGACAACGGTGGACTCGTTTGTTAATATACTTCAGTTGCCGGTGAAATAAATAACTTAAAGTGTTATTAATTGAATTTTAAATGAAATGTTTTCATAGGAATTTCGTTCCGTACGCAACACGTTGAGACGGCATAAATCACCGCCTGTCGCACACTTGCTCGTTTCAGCTACATCAGTGAATAATTCACCAACAAGCAATAACAATTGTGACGAATTAGTCTCGGTGCATTCGCAAGACGGTGGTAGTTCCATTTACGGTTCCTATGGTTACTTTCTACGTTTCTCTGAGAAGAGTTCGCCATTTGATGGTGGTTTGGATGTGGCTATGCTCGAAGAGGACATACTCTCCGGTATTGTAGACGAGGCCTCCTGCTACTTCTCCGAGGACAGTGATGACGAGCAAAAAAGCATGCAAAGCAAATATGAAGATGATGCAGGCAATACGTGTGTTATTGTAAACAACACAACTTTGAACGTATTCCGTTGCATTGGCCGTTACCTACAAATGTGTAAGTTGTTGCATTGCATTTCACCGAAAATTGTGGCGAGCATGTTGGAATTGATGGACTTCTACGCCTATGCGGTGCATGAAATTTTCGGCAAAGATGCTGTAAGTTTACTAAGTTGAATATACGCTTTGGATAGTAAGAAAAATATTAAATTTTTTTCCAGCCCGTGACGATGGAAAAATTTTACAACGCACGTCTTGAGCAAAAACTCCAAACAGTTCTGGATAATGTCGTAACAAATATAAAAATTTGGCCACTCAACTTTTCATCACTGGTGTGTATGCCACTAGGAACACTATAATATTTTCCATAACTCAAACCGTTACATTTAATTGCAGATTAATAACGAGCTGGCGAATCCAGATACTCTGTACGGCCTTTCACAGCGCATAGTTGCGATAGAGAGTGGCCATTGCATGACACAGCAGTTTCAAACATTACACAATTACCTCAACCATTTGCTAGCGCCACAAGAGCGACCAATGCTAACGGCTTATTTCGACTACATTGAATTCATGGCGGACATTGCACGTCCAGTGTACACCTGTGTTACTTCGCGCATCATTGATTTGCCAGCGGTCTTAGCAATGATCAGCAAAGTGAAATGGGATGTCAATCACGTCAGTTTTCAACATAATAATTACATTGATATCATGAATCGGGTGCGTATGAATTTTTAAAAGCATTATTTTTTTATTGTGTTATATTTTCAATTGATTAATTTGTGATATATTAGAATATTCAAAGCTTTGCAATGCGTTTGGAAGAAATCGCCAAAGAAATAAATCTACCTGCGGAAATTATATGGAACTCCATGGCTCATGTCGCGACGCATTTGCTAGTAGAAGGGTAAGCATATTAAATTTATTAAATATGTATTTTTTTAATATCATTGTTTTTTTATACAGTTTCTCGAATATAAAAAAATGCTCTGCCGGCGGTCGGGCGCTAATGCAACTAGATTTTACAAATTTCATGTCCATACTCGAATTGATTTCCAATCAAAAATATCCAGCGCATCGCATTTATGTTGATAGTTTCATAAAGGCATATTATTACTCAAATGAACAATTCGAAGAATGGATTGATGCGCAGCGTAATCTGGAGCAATATTCCACAAAGCAACTAACCAATCTCATACAATGTGTTTGCGTGAGTGACAAACGCACCAGACAAAAACTATTACAATTATTAGATGGTAATAACACTAGTGTTGGAAATGGCAATAATCTCAATTTAAGTACAAGTAGCACATAGTTGGAATATTTAGGTCATGCAGCGTCATATTAAACGCCAAGTATTTGGCCACTGCACAAATATTTATAATTTCAAAAATCTATATGTTACATATCCACATATGAATATTTTGTGCTTTTCAATGTTACGTTAATGTCTCGAAACATTCCTCTTTTGATTTATATTTGTAGGCTTATTTGTAAATCGCTTTACCTCTTGTTATTTATATGCACATTGAGGTTGCCGTTGTTTCCTGAAGTTGATGGTTATTTCCCTTAAGGGTCGTAAACAAAAACTTTATTTGAATTTAAATCGTGCCGAAATAATTTTTCTTTTTTTCATAAATTTTAAATGAGATTTTTTTGATATTTTGGAATATTTTTTTTTTTTTATCTCCGAATTAAATCTAAAACTTTAAAATAATGATGTTCTAATACAAAATTATCCGCTCTCCAAAATGTCCAAATAATTTGTTCATAAAAACATTCCATGAAAAGTTATATGTATCAAATGTACTGTTGTATACAGCACACGCAGAATGTGTAGATCTTTTGGTGAATGCTTGAATACTTTTTTAGGGCATCATCTTCAGAGGGCGTACCCTTAATGTGCATTGTAACTTAAAATTATTTATTTGTTAACTATTTAATCGATCTCCTATTAACCCTATATTACTCGAAACGATGTACTTCAAACTCTCTATAAACTCTCTTCACTTATGATATTGATAAAAAAAAATTTCTTCATGCTTCTTTGAACGGAATAAGTTTGTTTAACTTGAATCTCGAAACTTTATTATCTCTTCTCATATACCTAATTTTTATACATACTTACATATAAATAGACAATTTTATTTATACACACATATTATATATTATTATATTTCGATTATGTACCTTATTAGCTTGTTATATAACTTATATTTTGTTCATCTGATAACTACTGTATGTTGGTAAATGAAATCGTTTGTGCAGCCTGACGGACAAATATCTCTAGCATCAATAATAAAAAGCAACAAAAAGTAATAAGCAACATATTATACACATCCATATATACCTTATACATTAATACATCACTGTTAATGTACTGTAATCTAAAGTAAACGTATTTATAGCGCATAAATTTTAAAGTTGTATTATAAAGGAAGAAAAACTAATGTATAAATATTACCAACACACGACGGCGATCACGCAACTATGTTTCGGAATAAACGAAATCGCTGAAAATTAAGATTTGTTTGCTTGAAACGAAAACTATGTATGTATATTTAAGTTACTTTAATAATATCATATAAAATTGCATTCCACTACGAATCTACCAAAACATCTCCGCCATGATTGTAGCGCGCTTTTGCTTGCCCAATTCATCTTGTTCATCTGCCTGTTTCCTTATTGCGCCATTTCCAACTTTAGCCCAATTAAACTGCATATCCTTCAATTTGCGTTCGACATAATCGTCTTCCATGTCGACGCAGAGATTATGTAAAGCACACACTGTATCCACGATTTTACGCACTTCGTGTAGGTTACGTGCTTCCAGCGCATAAAGAGCGTTAAATCGTTTTGCCATCGAATCTAGCGCTTGTTGAGCCAACAACAAAGCCGGCTGTAATGCCATATTGAAAGCACGCTCCCTGTCATCGCTGGGCTCGCCTATGGGACGCATTAGGTAGGGTTTGAGTGGAAAGCTTTCATCACCAATAAGATAACTGCCTAAAGGCATTGTTTGAACGTTCAGCGCCAATGTTTGCCCTATGGGAGAGGTATCGAATGAATATTCATCCGCGAGTACCAAAAAGCAATCAACCACTTTTTGATCGCCATCACAAATAATTTGTAATACAACTTGTCGCTCCTCATTTTCAGCTTCGAGGAATACATCCAATTGTTTGGTGGCTAAAATGCCAAATAATTGTTGGAATTTATTAAGCTGTTGATTTGCTTGAAACGACCGTACGGTGTACTGACGTTTTTCTGGTGTACTGGGCCATTGAATTAATGCTTCGTATTGTGCGGAAATGCGTCGCCAAAACAGGCGTATAACTTGTTGGCAAACATATTTTGTAATGTTGAATTTACGTCCAATATCTTCGAAATGCTCATCTGTAGAGAGTTTCCAGAGTGCGAGTGAAAAAATCGATTGCGGTGGTGCAGCAGTGGGTAAATGCTGGCTGGGTAAATATTGCCGTAGTCTCTTGAAGATACGCTGCAGAAAATATACTATATATATTTCAATATTTTGCCATTATGATTGTTTCAATTTGTGCTTACCAGGAAAGTCATTTTACTCATATGCAAATATCCTTCAAATAGTGTCGTATTAAATTTGTTTAGTAAATTAATTTCGGTTAAGGTTTGACGCCTCACAGGTTCACATGGAGCAGCTGGTATTTTATTTCTTTTAATACATTTTTTTGAATTGGAATTATTTGCTATAATCTGTTTATCTTCATGTTTTCTGCGCTTACTTTGTAGGAAAAAATGTAATGCTTCATCATCGGAATCGCTGTGGAGTAGCGGAAAATCCGCTCTGGCAAATATATTCGCCCCCTCCTTGGTTTTGTTTTCATCTATTAACATATCTTTCACTAAAATTGCGGCAATATTCGGCAACAAAATGCTTTCCATTTTAAAGATAAACTTTTCGGGTGTTACTTTATTTTGTGATTATTAATTGCAAATCACTTCAGTTTATAAAAAAAAAACAGCGAAATAAAACTACCATAGTTGTATGTATACATAAAAACAAATCAGAAAGGGGTTTGTTTACAAGTAGAGTACGTGCAGATGTGTTCATTGTTATTGTTTAGAATAGCCCTGTTCGTTCACTTAAAGATTGACAGCTATTGTATGTTCTAATAATATTACTACTCACACTTAATAAAATTTTATTTATTCTTTCTTTTTTATTTTACTTTAATAAACAAAATTACTTACCTTCTGTAAAATATAAGAATTATCAGCTTGGTGTAATAAAATTTACAAAATATTAGTAATTATAAAGTTATGTAAATTTAAACTTGAATCAGTTTCCTCTGCAACCTTGCTCAGAACAGCTGAGTGCACAATTCTGTTTATTATTTTTGTGTAATGGAAAAACACGTGCGTCAATCTTTTCGCGAGTTTTTTTAATAAACAAATAAAAGTACTAAATTTAACTGAAAACTTTAAAAATTAAAGTGGAAACTTACCTTATTTTAAAGTGAAAGCCGAATTAATAATAATGGATACACATGATATATTTCTACAGTTGACAAGAGGAGCGAGGTTTAATTCAAAACCTAAAACTGCAATCAAATCGGTAAGGACCTTTCCTTTTTATAGGAAATAAATATATATTTATATTTTTGTTTGCACATATCTTTAGAACCGACACACGACTGATGAAATACAAGAAAAGAAAACAGCACAATCAACAATTTCTACAATAGCCAAAAGTGACGAAGAGGTTTCTCATTCGGACGGCTTCAGTTCTGAAGAGGAAGAAGAGTCTTTTAATTACGTCAATGGTAAAGATGATATTAAAAAATTATCGAAGAAACCTAAAAAGACAGTCACCGCAGAAGAAAGAGAAGCAAAACTTCATGAAGAAATGGTATGCATTAATAAATAATAAATATTTATGAACACAAATTAGTTTTTGGTATTTTATCACTTCTCAATAGGTGACAACAATTCGTAAAGAAAATCTAATTACTGCGCGTGGTAAGAATATTCCGGCACCTGTAACTACATTTGAAGACCTAAAAAATGAATATGGCATGTCTGATCGTCTTTTGCAAAATCTCGCAACTGCCACTTATTCGAAACCCACACCCATACAAATGCAGGCAATGCCGCTGTTGTTACAGGGGCGCAACGTAATGGCTTCAGCACCAACTGGCTCAGGCAAAACCATCGCTTTTCTAGCTCCTATTATCAATGATTTGCGCAAGCCAAGTAAGTTGGGGTTCCGTGCGGTTGTGTTGGCACCTACACGCGAATTGGCAGCGCAAATTTATAGAGAATGCGTACAATTGGCAAATCAGACAGCATTAAAAATACACTTTCAAGCAAAATCAAACAACAACAATGAGACTTCTGATAATGCGAATAAGAAGTATGACATACTTATATCCACACCAAATCGCGTACGTTTTCTTTTGGAGCAAGAACCACCCGCTCTACATCTAACTGAGTATGTACTAAATCTTAACTGCTAAATTGATCTATATTAGGCTAAATTTCTATATAACCATCTAATTGTCGAATTTTAATTATTACAGAGTCGAATGGCTGGTCATAGACGAGGCGGACCGCTTGATGGAGGAAGGCATAAATAATTTCAAAGACCAAGTCGATGTTATTTTAGCGGCTTGTACAAATAAGAAAAAGAAGTTAGCACTCTTCAGTGCGACGTATACAGTTCCAGTGGCTAAGTGGGCAATAAAAAATCTTCCCAACTTGGCGCGTGTAATAGTTGGTCATGAAAATAGTGCTACGAATTCCGTTGAACAAGAGTTGCTGTTTGTTGGTTCTGAGGGTGGGAAACTATTAGCCATAAGAGATATGGTACGCAAAGGACTGAAACCACCCGTGTTGGTTTTTGTGCAAAGCAAAGTAAATGAATATATCTTATAAAAAAACAGTTATTCTAAAACGAAATGAAATTTCAGGAACGTGCTAAGGAACTCTTCCAGGAGTTGCTCTATGACGGCATCAATGTCGATCTCATACATGCTGATCGTTCACAGCAGCAACGTGACAATTGTGTACGCGCGTTTCGAGAAGGTCATATTTGGGTGCTAATATGTACCGAACTAATGGGTCGTGGCATAGATTTTAAAGGTGTCAATCTGGTCATCAACTACGATTTTCCACCATCAGTGATATCGTATATACATCGTATTGGTCGTACTGGCCGAGCGGGCAGAAATGGTAAGGCCATAACATTCTTCACGCAAACTGACACGCCAAATTTAAGAAGGTACATAATTTATAAAAATGACTTATTCACGGTCATTAATTCTAATAACTTTTCCTTTCCAGCATTGCAAATATTATTAAGGAATCCAATGGGAAAGTGCCCGATTTCATATTAGGTATGAAGAAACAACGGAAAAGCGAAAGAAAGTGGCTGGAAAGCCATGCGCCCAAACGTGATAGTATATCAACTCGTATATCGAAGAATGTGGAAAAGGAAAAAGATAATGTTGAGAAAAATACAAAACCAATGGCGAAAAAACGTAAGGCCAGTGCTGAATTTGATAAAAAGACTAGCAAAACGAAATTGAACACGAAAAAGTCTTCTAATTTAAATTGAAAAAACAGTAATAATAAGTTCTAAGAAATATTTTCACATAAATTCGGTGAAATGCATTATTGTTTATTTACAAATATATATATATGTACATATAAGCATATGTCTAATAAAAACGTTTGTAAATATGTTACTCTGTAATTGTTTTTTTTTGTGCATAATTTCTTATTTTTTGTTTTTGTAGAAAATTTTTATGGGCACTTTTTGGAAATTGCACTTATTGTGTTTCTTTCTCCCCCTTACTGTACTAATAAGGCACATTTAATAAATATTAATATGCTGATATAAAACTAACTAGCCTTACTTAATATGTATGTATATTTTCAAAAATTTTCGATGGTTATTTCAGTAGTCTTCTGTCTTTCTGCCTCCCCTCTCGCAGTGGATTGGGCATACTAAGATTCACATAGCCAATCACATGGTAATTTTGGCATTTTACTAGCTGGCCATGGCAAGTAACCGGCGGTTTTGAATACCCAGTAATCGTAGGACACTTTTGTGATTAAAGCAATTAGCAAAATCACCTCGGTGGCTATCAAATAATAAATATAATCGGTCCAATCGTGCGGCGATTGGCACAGTTTCTTTTCCCGCAATTCCATAACATTTTGTGGTAAATTCCGACATCTTATGCTATTATAGTCAGGGATATCACGATTGTGTTCCAGCAGCCAATACTGTGAAAAGAAGACACGTATAGTTTTTAATAATTAATTATTGAGCTTCAATTTAGTATTTATGTACCTTCAATGTTTTAGCTGAATTACAGTCACAATTCAGCTCATTGCCGCCGAGAAAGATAATGCGTCCAACATCATGATTATCCAATACGTTGCTCAAAAAATATTCGGGAATCTGAAATAGTGAAGGGAGGAGTAAAACTTTATTACGATTTTCAATAAATTGGCGAACATAAATTCTGTAAAGTCATTTGGAAGACTGAAGAGAAGAGGGCAAATACGCACCGATTTCTCACATTCTTAAAACCAAATCATGGATGGAAGGAGCTCCCAATGCTAGATATATGAATATTTTGTTAACTATTTATAACTGCACCGACACAGCATACAGAGTAATATTCTATAGGTACATTTCTCATAGCATAAAAGATCATGAAAATATCTTGATCTTGAGTAATATGTTTTGAGATTTTGGCTCTGTATTTGACAACAGCCCTCACCAATTTTCAAGATATTATTCGGAGGTTGTAACTTCGCTGTCGTTGTTGTACCGCCAGAAAGCATTCCCAAATAGTGGCCGTAGACAATCCATGGCCGGAGAAAAATCCGGCTCCGTTACGGATACTTGGACTCGACTGAATTAGATATGAATAATATGTTCGGAGATTGAAGCAATGTCTTTAAATATAATCCATTCCAAATTTCGTTTAGATATCTCGTCAAATGAAAAAAGTTTTCCAAACAAGTATTTCATTTTAATCGATAATTTGTATGGCCTTTATCCTAAGATAAGTCATTGGAATCGAAGGCATGTGCTCATACGTTAACGACTATCCTTTGTTTCTCACTTCCTCTCTGCACTCCGAAATATAACAGGATGCCTCTTGATATTTCCCATTGAACACCTGCACAGTAAGGCCCGTATGCTCCCAGTTAAAAAACGTACAGAACTCCTCTCTAAGCAGTTTCTGCTGGGGTGCTTTCCCAGAAATCATCCCTGAGCATCAAGAGGTCCTTCCTCAACTATGTCGACGATATAAAACAATACGCCGACCAGACCTCGGACGCAAAAAATGTCAGACATGCACTGACCGCCATTAACAGTCAAGCCATTAACACCTTCACCGACTCCTCTCAACGAATGGACACAAACATATGTCCAGTGTGCAAGGAGTCCCCGCATGACACAAACCACCTCTTTGCATGCCCTGCTAACCCTATAAATCTGACATCCCTCTTCCTATGGTCCCACCCCGTCGAAACAGGACTTTTCCTGGGCCTACTGTTGGATGACCTCGATGGCAACTTATTTAATCCTTAACATTCTAACGATGGATTATGTTACAACAACAAATGAGCAGCTCTTGAGACAAAAATAGTGTCTCCAAAATATAAAACCGGTATCTTTCAACCTTAAATAGACTCCGCTTGCCACGCTTATCATAAATATATACAGTTGAACTTCCCTAACTCGAATCATCATAATCAAAAGCCTTCGAGTTAGACAGACAGACAATGTGGAAGGAAATTTCTATGAAATTTGACTTCTATTGCCAATTCAAGAGTTCGTGTTATGGAGAACTTTGAATTATGGAAGTTCAACTGTATACTATGAACTTTATAGGATCTATTGATCATGCCAAAACTGATATATACGATATATAATGTGCTTTCCAAAGTAAACAGGACTTTTTGAATCTAGCGCACCTTGTAATATATTGTTATGAAACTTACACTGCTGATTGCATTGTTGCGCAAGTAAAGCCTTTGAAAGTGCTCCATAAAGGTGGTTCCTTCAAAATCGTATATTTTGGAAATATTATTGTTGTCCGCTACTAGGTAAATCAAGCTACGATAGGTCGGATTTGTATGAAAATGTTTTCCGATGCTTGTAATCTATAGTAAATAAAAGAATTAAAAATAATAAAAAAAAACAGCAAAAATTATAGTAATGGTGCAATTTGAATAACAACCTTATTGTTCGAAACATTGAGTGAGAACGTGTTTTCTGGCAGCTTTGGCGGCAGCTCAACAAGCCCAAGATTTGAGCAGTCCACTTCTGATATGATTTTGGTTGTCGCCTCCGATTCATCGCCCTGTAAAGGCAAAGTGTTGCAATTGGTGAGTTTTAAAGCGAGATTGATGAATGAATTTCATAGCATTTACCGACAAAGTGGTCACCATGTGCTCCTTCTTGCAAGTACAATTGCCATAACCAGGTATGATGGGGCAATCGGTGTTCAACGGTCGCGATTTGACTAGCTCCTTGATGGATATCAAGTCGGTTGAATTGAACCAACGAAAAGTGGAGTTATGCAAACAGTATGAGTTTTGCTGATTGACGAACATCAGCGAATCGCGAAAGATGGAATTGTATATGTCATAACAAAGCATATTGTTGTTGCCACTGCAAGTGAAAAATTCTTATTTTTTTGTTTAGAAGAATAAATGAAAAATAATCATACACACCTCACATCTACAGTTATATTCTGATTTTGATTGAAGTTCGGTATGCTCGTCAAATTATTTTTCGATATATCCAACACTTTCAACGTCGGCGGTATTAAGCCACGTTGCGTAATTTCCGACAAATTATTATTGGACACATTCAGGCACTTGATGGAAGAGAATCGTGAAAAGCTGCCCACCAATTTGGTGATATTACCGTCGGTGATGGCGAGTGATTGCAGCTTCTGGTAGAGGAAATTCGACAAATCCAATTCATGCAGTGTGACATTGCGTATATGTAAGTTTGTCCAGGTGGTTGTGTTACTGCAGGACGAGATCATCGACATGTGTGTTACATTGCAGCAATACCATGACGTGGGCATATTGGTATACGGTCGACAATGACAGGTGCCCAAGTGTGTGTGCTGATCGTAAGTTTGTTGATTCCAATTCTCTAGTGTTTTGTCACATAATTCCTCCTCGGCATAGAAGCACTGCGGGCGGTATTCGGTTATCTCTGGTTCAGCTGGCGGTAGGCTGGTAGTGGGCACAATCTTTGGCAACGGCAATAAGTTTGGTGGAGGTGGTGGCTGAAAATCTATCAGTCCATTCGGTATTGGCTCTTGTGGCAACGCCATTGGTTCCTCAATAGCATGTGGTAATGCGTAAGACCCTGGCCAGCAGAGCAAACACATAATCACGAAAATAATGTGTGTTTGGCATGTCTAAAAGAAATAACATACTATTAAGAGGCACCGTTGATGTTTAATATGTGTTTAAATAATCCAAATATAATATAATAAAAAATTTATATGTTTAAATTTATATAAAATCCCTCCATAGTCTTCCTTTGATAAGTCGGATAGAACTCCCTCTCAAGGAACCCACCAAGTACCTTGGGGTAGTCTTGGACAGTAAACTGCTTTGGAACCATAATGTGCATGAAATAGTACGAAAAGGCTGTCAATGTCTTGTATGATTGCCGCAATCAGGGGGATTGCTCCCTCTTCGAAGACCAATTCTGCTGGTGATAAGATATGTGGAAATTTACCTACCGGGAGCCAATGGAAAAGGTTTAGTGATTCGCAACACTCTGTATAACGGGTATTCTAAGACACACCACAACCGCAGCTCTTGAACTAGTACTAAACCTGTAACTTTTAGATCTCTTCTTTAAAAACAGCGGGGGAAAAAAAGTCGGAATAATTACTGGATGCAGGAGAATTCATGTTTAGAACCTTCGAGCTTAGCTCGGTGAGCAATGGCGGTTTGGCAGGCACTGACTACATGATCCCACTTTATAATTGGGGAATTAGATTCAGAGTGAACTTAGAAAGAGATGGTTGGTGTGAAGGTATGGTTACGGTGCGCAAAACATTACAAGTTTACGGATGGCACGAAAATGAAAGATGGAGTTCGTGCGGGATAAACATACTGTCTGATATTACATATAAGGCAGTTTTTACTATTGGGAAAGTCGCAGGCAAATCCAGAGTTAATATCTACGTGAACAGCTAACCAGCAATCAAGGTTATATAATATGGCAAAAATGTTTCGGGAAGAAGGGCAGCAGCAGAGAGTGTTGCTAAACAACTTCATTTCTAGAATAAGTTGTTGTAGCGGCAGAATTCGGCGAGTTGATAGTTCTTGGCCGGATAATAATCTTGGTCCGTTCCGGTTGAGTAGACCTGCCTGTCATCCGAAAACCCGACACCTATGCATAGTCTATATGTACGACGATCAGGAGACGAGCATTGGCAGGAAGGTAAAAACGCAATGACCGGGGTGCAAAACTGCAACCTATGTATGAAAGAGTGAAGGAAGTATAGTTAGCGAGGCTACAAAACGTGTTGAAATCCGAAATGAATTCTCCTGCTGGTGTCCCAAAGGATGACTATACCTTGTGGACTACGTAA